ATGTACAATAAATGATTTTTTCAACAAATGATCGAAATTAATTTATTGGTGTAGCCAGGTAACCAGGTAATTTTGTTTACTTAATTGTTTTAATATGGGTCGAGAGAGACTATTAATAAATTGTTTACTAATTAATGTAGATATAAATACTCGTAATTTTATATTATGTAAATATTTTTGATATTTTATAATGTTCAAATAAATAAGTTTTGTGATTATTGTTAATAAATTATACAATTTTGTTATGCAACATGCACACTTGGATAATTTGAATATTATTTTAGGTGTTTTGAAAAATTATTTTTTAACTGGTCATCATGTCAATGTTGTATAAAAGTCATGGGCACCTGTAGTTAAACTATTAAAAAATGTATTATTAGTTTAACAATAGTTCCCGTGAAGGTATAACATGGTGGCGCCGATTAGTTAATAGATCAAGGCTATATTTAGTGCTTTTGAGGTTTGATAGGATCCTGATGATTATATCTATCAGACTAATCCAACTAATTATAAACTTCAATTGTACGGCACGTTATATAAAATTAATAAAGTTTACTAAAGTATATAGTGTATTAATCTACAACAAAAAATACTATTGGTAAATTGCCAATGTAATTTATAACTTTTGTTTCATCATGTATAAAGTAGCAAAAATCATTACACAATCTGCCCGGGATCTATATTAATATAACCCATAGATATATTATAGAAAGTGCTAGAAATGAGAAACTATAAATATGGCTTAATATACGGGGACAGGTAGGCTATAATATAATCTGATTGTCGGATCCAATGCACACTTTTCTCGTGACTTTTATCTAGTATTTATTGATTAACTCTTTTTGAGTTAACGTTTTATTGTAGTATAAGTTTTGCACTCAATGTATGACTTGAAGTGTTTGTAAATATCAATCAGTATATCTGGTCTTAATTAGTAATTATAACAATAGGATCTAGTTGCTCTATAGACATATACATAGAAAAAAATTAAAAATTTAAAAAAGTAATTTGCCTTAAAAGTAAACTTAAAAACATATTGTAATAATTTTTAAAATAATCAGCTATATTATTTTATATTTACAATTTAAAAGTTAATAATAATTAAAAATTCGATATAATTAAATTGATTTATTAAAAAATTTATTATTATTTTAATGTTGAACAAATTGAAAATTATAATTATACATTAAATTAGATACAATAAGGAATAAATGTACAAATATGATAATTATTTTACAAAGTTAAATTATTTTATAAAATAAACATTAAAAACTCAAAAAACAATTTAAGTATAAAAAATTATTATTAATAAATAAAAAAAATTTTAAAACAAAATAAAGTCTCTAATAATTTCCAAACTAATTAATACTAATGTAATGATAAAAACAATATTTTATTACAATTTCAACAATAAACTAGATCAATTATTTTATCATTTATTATATTAATATAATATGTAAAAATATTTTTATTTAAAAAAACTCATTAATATTTTCAACCATCACTACTTGAAAATAGATATAATCTTTATTTTCTAAAATGTTCCGGATACAATTGATTCGCACTTTGATCTAATTAATAAATAGTTTATTGATAATACCTTGATCAAAACATATAAAAGGGCTTTCCATTCAAAGTTTGTGAATAGATATGTTTTTAAAACAAAACTTTGTTATAAAAAACATACAATGAAAAATATTATAACAATTAAAATATGATATAAGTACAATATGTTAAAAATGTAAAATATTGCAAAAGCTAGATATTGCAATATTTGCAAAGGTAAATAATAAAAATAATTATATTTGATAATAATATACCATAATAAACAAATATACAATAATTTAATAAATAATTAATTTTTTATTATTGATACAAATTATTACACAAATGTAACACAAAAATAATCAAACAATAAATTCATTGTTCATAACATTTCTATCGCAGTGTTGTATCAATCGGTTGACAGCAATGTCCGCATCACTCGAGTCACGCATTTGTTCGCAAATATTCACAAATGTTTGCAGTTTTTGGATTCCGTATGTATTCTGGGATTACATATAATAAATTAAATAAGTAATTAAACATTTAAAATATATTTAAAATAAATTATCGCATACTTCAGCCAAATTATAACACTTATGATAGAAAGTGTTAACCAATTGTTTATAGCAGTCCCTGTGATTGAGCTCTAGTTTGCCATTCAATGCGATATTGGCGTCAATTGCCGGCAATTCATTCACGTATTCCTCGATCTGTTTATCCATTAGTTTCCGACGGCTTAACAAACCCTCCAATTCTGTGA